TGATCTTTTTGACATGGTCTTGGATTGTGTTTGTAAGCATTTTATTGAGGAATTTTACATCTACGGTCATAAGGGTAAATGGTCTGTATTTCTATTTTTTGGGTAATTTGAGAAGTATTGACATTTACAATTCATTGAAAATCAAGTAGAATTCTGTGCTAAAACATGGTCTATATTGGGGACTGGTATACTTCTAATGCTGCTTTTATTCACTAGCAGTTATGTGTATGTTTAAATTGCTGATCTTATCCTGATTTAACTTTGATAGTGATATGTGCCAGGAAAATTATCCATTTCTTCTAGATCTTTCCATCTCGTGGAATACAAGTTTTTAAAGTATGTCTTTGTGATTCTCTGGATTTTATTATCTGTTGTTATTTCCCTCTTTTTATCTCTAACTTTCTTGATTTGAATCTTCTCTTTATTCCTTTTACTTAATTTTGATAAGAGTTTGTCAATCTTCTTTATTTTCTCAAAGAACCAAGTATTTATATCATTGATTCTATCTACCTTGAGTTTGATTAATTCTTGGCATCTAATTTTTTTGGATGTGATTTTTTTCCTTTTGTTCTAGAACTTTCAGTCTGGTATGCTATTAATTTACTTGTATGAGATCCCTCAGTTTTTTTTATTTGCTGATGCTTGGATTTTTTTTGTTTTTGTTTTTATTGTTTTTTTTTATGAAGTATCTCTTGAAATCGTGTTCATTGTATCCCATAAGTTTGGGTATGTTGTGTTTTCTTTTTCATTCTAACCTAGAAAGTCTTTTTTTTTCTCCATTTCTGTCTTGACCCATTTTCTAGTCAGTAGAGAGTTGTTTTCTATGATTTTGTAAAATTTCTGATGCTTCTGTTATTGTCCCTCGTGATCAGATAAGATGCAGGTGTTATTTCAATTTTCTTTTATCTTTGGAGAGTTGTGTTGTGTCTCAGTATGTTGTCAGTTTTGAAGAAAGTTCCATGAGGTGATGAGAAGTTCTATTCTTTTGTCTTTGGGTGAACTGTCCTGTAAATATGTTTGATCCATTTTAACTTATGTTACTTTGTCTTTTTCCTTTGTAACTCTTAATATCCTTTCCTTGTCCTGTATGTTTAGGGTTTCATTTATTATGTGTCAAGGGGAATTTATTTTCTGATCTAATGTATTTGGTATTCCATATGCTTCTGGTAATTTGATAGGTATCTCTTTTCTTATGTTAGAGAAATTTTCTTCTATTATTTGTTGAAAATATTTTCTGGGCCTTTGACCTAGGTTTCTTGCCCTTCCAGAAGATCTCAGCTAAGGACAAGCTGTGGTTGAGAACTATCAGAACTGTTTTCTACCTTCTGGTAGTGCTAAATTCTTTTGTCTTTTAACCAATAGAATCTATACATTTAAATGTCTATTAGAGGAACATTTCTAGCCAACTTTTTTTTTTATTTTCTACCGTTCCTTGTGCCTTTATAAACTGATTAACTAGACATTTTTTGTTTGTTTCATATAATGGCATAGCTTTCATTGTCCCCACAATGAAATAAAGTTTTATCACTAATTTAATAACTATCAGTATTCAGAATATCAGTGAAGCATAGACTTGGATCAAAGGGACTATGGCATTTTAATGAACGGCCTGTTATGAAATAGCTGTGTGGTTGGGTTGAAATGTTACATGCTGGTCTGGAGGAACTCTCTGTCTTTAACTAAATGGGTGTCCACAGGATGTTCTTAGGTTTTCAACATCAGAGGTTTCATATTATACTTTATGAGAACAGTTTCTAATTTGGAAGTTCCTGTACAGTAGCATTGCTTCATGACTTCCTGACTCAAATTCTTTTCTGCTACAATGCTTCTGGGCAGTTTCCCTTACCTTGAAATGATTTCAAACTTGGTTAGGTCTTTCCTTGAATACTTTTATAGCAAAACCCCTTTCTATCCTCCAAATAGTAGCACACCTGTTGAAGCTTCTACTCAAAGTTTGTTCTTAGTTTCCTCATTTGTAAGTTCTGAGTTTAGATGGATGTTATTGGTACATTATCATTTAATAAGTGTTCTTGCCGCCATGTACTGCACATGCCTTGTTCTTTGTGATTTATTTCATTGAAAACAAGCTGGTCTCCACCAAAATCTGAAAATACTAGTCATACTTTTCACACTTCTCTTACTATTGTCATAGGGATAGTCTAACAGAGCTACATATTGAGTTAGAGAAACATAGTTTTAAGTTGCAAAACTGGCAAGGGACAGATTTATGTCTTGAAGGATCAAGTTTATAAAATAAATGTTCAAAGTAAATGAAAGTCAGAGACGTGGAATAAAAAAATAAACATGTCAGTTTTCTTCATGTTTGAAGGGAGAGGTGAGCCCATCTTGACAACCTCCATACAAAAGTGATCTGGGCTCCTTATTTTCTAGTCTAAAGGCCAAAATCCTCCACATAGTGACAGTCTAAATAATGTCTTCAGATATGGAGTGCCAGGAACCAGGGAGTTGGCCTGGCTTAGCTGCCTCGAGAGACATGTGTCATAAGTATTTCAAGTTGGAGTCCATGGTTCTTGGGACAATGTATGCCTTCCAGATCCTGAGAATGGAGGCATTCCTTCAGGTAGTGAAGAGTTCAAGCTGCTTTATGTGTCTTGTATTTGCCTTAGTAGTCATGGAAGTATGGAAGCTTAACAGCACATTTGCTCTGACGTACCCTGTATGTCTTGCAAACATCATTGTATTCTGCCAACTGCATTTGTCCTGGCAATTGTCATTATATTCTGCTTCTGATAAAGATATATAAGATCTGATTGCTCAAAATAAAAATTGTCACCTCCCCAGTCCTGAAATGGCCCCTCAAACTGGCCTGGTTTATTTCCTCATGGCCTTATCAAGAAAACTTGGCCCAGAAAGTAAGCTCAGGCACTTACTATGGGGTATGTGTGTCCTCTAAATTGTCTCATGAAGTGCTAGGATATAAGTCATTCTTAGCACTTGTTTCTCCTTAGAGGCTTGGTATTTCTTTTTAAATTCTTTCAATAAATTCATGTATTTATTCAGTAAAAATCATTTTCTAGTGAAAATGATGATGGGAATTGTGGAGGGTGATGGAGAGAGCCTGAAATGAACTTCTTATAAAAAAAACTTAAAACATATCTTTCATACTGTCTAAGGTTATAATGACATTGTTACCAGACTACCACAAGTGGAAGAAGAAATTGGGGTTTAGAGATTTATTCATTTCCTTTCTATAACTAGATTTTTATAAATTAGAATTACAAATATATAGGGAAAACAAGATGATAGTGAAGCACCATTTGTGTGCTTAAGTCAAAATCTGATCCTTTGGCATAGTGACCAGTGCTCTTAAACTCTGAGGAAACTCTCTAGCCCCTTCTACAAATTTTCTTTATATAAGGTTACAATTTTACTAAATATTCAGTGAAAAATAGCAAAAAAGTATGTAGATGGCCATGTTTTTAGTGAATATAACTAAGGATGATTCTGACTTTGCCCACTGTCTCTCTCTTTCCTCCCTTTTCCAAACTAAACTGTGTATGAAAAGTAGGGAAAAAAAAATCTTGTTTAAGTAGTGAAAGTTAAAAATTAATTTGTTAGAGTATATGATAGATTAATTTGATAATTTTTATTTATGAAGTTACATTGTAAGTGGTCCAAGAGTTATGACTATCCTCATTGGCTCACTATCATTTAACAAATGCATCATGTACAGCTTTATCATCCAAGGTGGTAAGGTTTCTAATAAGTCTAAACATTAAAATAATGAATAACTGAATGTTTTGTAGGTCCTGAATGCCAGATATAGGCAGAGCAAGACAGTGGAAAGAAAATGAGTTGAAGAGTGTTTTCTTTCTGTTCTAATTCCACGGTCAATGTTGATCTCAGTAGATTCTCAAAGCCTTTCTTCAGAAATATAACTTCACTTACCTATTACATCCATAATCAGCACAAGACTTTAAATAATAACTGTGAATAAATAGAAAAAAATCATATTCTATATTATTAAAAGAATTAATATGTAGGTAAAGTTTAAAAACAACAGTCCGAGTATTTTACTTGACCTTACACTGTGGTAGGAGAATCCATTGCTTCTTTTTTCAGAGTATCAGCTTCTGTAAGCTGGGTTAACTACCAGCAGATTGATTTTACCATATGTAGAATAAAGATGTTAAAAGCATACAGATTGAAACTGACATCACTTTCAAGTCCATAAAAAGAATGATAAAAACTTTTAGATTTTGAAGGTTGAAATTAAATGAGTAATTGTTAAAAATTAATAAACTATCATTAAAATGTGTGGAAGTCTTCCCCATGAACATCAGTGAATAGAGAATTCCTGGTAATCATATATATAATCATAACAACCATGTGATTTCCAGACCTCTAGTTGTTTTAAATTGTAAAATACAAGAATTTAATTATAATAGTCAGCTTTAATATCCTGAGAAAACACGGAATGACTTAATAATAGGTACCTTTAAATAGTTAACACTACGAATATCCTATAACTGAGGGCCTGGTAATTGTAATTTTCAATATTCCACTTTTTGCAAACATTTTAAACAAAAATTCCTTATTAAATTAGTTATGAAAAAGTTGGTTATTGGGAAGTCCCATTAAAACTAATCCAATCAGCTGGGCGGTGGAGGCACACGACTTTAATCCCAGCACTCGGGAGGCAGAGGCAGGCAGAGCTCTGTGAGTCTGAGGCCAGACTGGTCTACAAGAGCTAGGTCCAAGACAGGGTAGCAAAGCTACAGAGAAACCCTGTCTTGAGAAGAACAAGCTAATCTAAGCAGTTTTTGTTCTGTGGAAATTTACTAGTAATAATGTCATGATCATGTTCTTTGAAAATGGCACAATAATTAACCCACACATACAAATGATTTTGGTTTTTCAAGCTTCAAAGTCCTTCCCAGGAAACTCTATAAATAAAAGTGGTCATTGCTTCTTGAATGCAAAACAAACCGGCTTTCCAAAGAGGATCTGTTGTCAGTTCTTGCTTAAGAAACTGTACCATGAAGATTCATCTCTTTTTCTTTATTCTGCTCCTTTGGGTCACAATATTACCAGGTAATATGCAAGTATTTGTCAGAGGTATTTGTAGAGATGGATTTGCAAAGGTTTCTGTTGCTATTTGCTAAAGATACTTTCTTTAAAAAAGTTAGAGTGATAATATTGTTTTACTAGATTTACTATGAAATTTTTGAATTGCATCATGAAATAATTACTAGTGGGAAACCCAGTGAGATATGAAGAAAATGTAGTTTAGCTGATAATATTATATTAATATTCTGCTTATGAGTATTATCATGCATTTTCAGGATATGATACATTGTAGCTTTGGCTTCCACTGTGTTCAGATTCCAATATATTGAAATCTACAAAGATTGCTAAGTTTCAAATTAAAATAATCATATTCACCCTATTATGTTTATTCAGTAATATATATTTAATAATTATTTATGATGAGTTTATTTATTATTTGGGAAACTGCTGCTGAGCATTATCAACTATAAGGTGAAAATAGCTCAGTGTTGGATTATTTTTTATTCTATAATAGGGTATTCGTGAAATGCTTTTTGGTATTCTTTTCTCATAATTACAAGTCAATTATAGTCTTTATTGGCTTTCTTTGAAGTATTTCTTGTATTACTATCTACTGTATTTTGGTGAAAGGTTTCCCTGAAGGACTATCCCTCCCTAGCAAGTATACAGTAAAATATTGGTCTTCTTATGAAGTGACACATATTTATTGACTTCAAAAAGCAAAATAAGAATTCTGACTTCAATTTATTCATTTATTTTTATATTAATAAATTAACCTAGTTATTCATTTATTCATTTTAGATGGTCTAGTCTAACAGCCATTATATACCCCAGCTTCATATGTCCTCTAACACATAATAGGTTATTTTCCTATATGTTCTGCAATAATTAACACTAGTAAATAACTATATAAATGTATTTCAAACCTGTATCTTTTTTACAACATATTTATTCAGGTTACTAATAACCATAGTTACTTATCCTTTCCTTCAACAAAATAAAACATTTACATGCAATGCATTCTAGGAAGTTATAAATCACTTAGATGACAGAGTAGTATAAATTATATTGTGGTCAATAGTCTTATGCATTTTTCTATTACTTCCAAAGGGTAAGTTCCTTTTAAAATTATATATGAACTAAACCTGTAAAGAACTCATTATTATAGACAAACACAGTATGAAAAACAATAACTATCACTTTGTTGGATGATACTTTCTTTTCAATGTTAGAAGAGGCATACTATAATTTTTTTTTTTAGAAAAGGCATCTAATAGGCTTCTTTCACTTTATAGCTCACAAATCTATGGTAATAGAATGAAGTTGAAAATAAATGTACATCACTGGGCCTACGTAGATGGCTGAGTGCTTATGAATGCTTACTGTTCCTATAGAGGACCTGAGTTTAGGTCCTCAGATTCAAAAACCCAGAGTGGGCAGCTCAGAATCACCTACAATCTCAACTCTAGAGGATCTAATGATCTGTTCTGGCCTCTGTATTAATGTTCACATATGTGGAGTACATAAACTACTATTGCAGGGATACACACACAAACACATAAGTAAAATATAATTCAGGATGAAATTTGTGATCTCCATGTGCTCATGAGTTTGAAGACCAAAGTATGACCAACCAAACACACAGATGCTGTAAACTGTCAATATCTCTTCAGCCAATAGTTGGGTTTCATGCAGGACTTTTTGATTGGCTTGAACTTGTCCAGCCAGGTCTGGACACATAACCACAACTGCCCAGAGTACAGTGGTCCTATACATGTTAAATAGAATGTTTTGATTTGATTCTCCTCAAACTCTGAATGTTTAAACTTCAGTATTATTTGCATGAAAATTCTTATTCAAACTGAATTAAAATGACATTATACTGTCACTGATTTATGTCCCTAAATTTTCTATGCAAGGAATTTCTCTTTGTATAAATTAGCTTTCTTCTGCATTTTCCAAACACTACAAATACACATAAAGTATAGAAGTGGAATACTTTTTATTGCTCCACTCTTTTATTTTTTTTCTTAAAAACTGAAGATTTTAATTTCTATGGACATTTTTATATTTCAATCATACATATGCTATGAAAACAGGACAGAGTATTTTTGTATCAAAGAGATCACATAATCTTTCCTTCCCTCATACCCCAAACATTCAAGGTAATCTAAAGAATAAAACAAACAAATAAAATGAAAAGAAGTTGTAGTTTAAAGAATTATTCTGGGGAAAAATTCTGTAGAGATTTATATTGTATATGAATTAAGATTCATATACTACTTAAATTCTCTATCATCTGAGGCTGATATAACAGTATAAATTATACTCATATGAGAAAGAAACAGATAGGGATTCTTCCGAAGGTCAGAAGCGACTTATGCATTTGAAGACAAGAGGTTATTTATTTGTCTTTTCACAGTATTATTTGAACATTGACTAACAATTAGGGGTAATGATGCCCCTGAGAAGACATTCAGAAATGCTTGGAGAATCTTTGTCATAGCCTGTACAACTGGCAACTGTGGGGTAAAGTTCAGAAAGGCTGCTAAATAATCTGCTAAATAACAAGCCCCTCAAGACCAAGATTTGTTCAATCACAAATTCAACTTTGCTTAGGATGAGAAGCCTACCCTAGAGCGTGCCATGCCTCCCGAATTATTTCTATTTCATAGAAACTAATAGCCTGTTATAGTAACAAATCTCTGTAACCTGAAAACTGGGAGTCATAGTCAAGGGTTATCAGGAATTCAAGTCCATCCTTGGCTACATAGCAATTTTGAAGTCAGCCTGAGTTTCATGAAATCCTGTCCAAAAAAAAAAAAAACCTCTAATTTTACTTTTGTAATTCTAGATAAAAGCGTGACAAAGTTAACCATGGCAGAATAGCAGTGCTGGTAGAATCTGTTCATAACTCCAACAACAAATTTTTCAACCATTCTTTTTGATTTGTTTTGTTTTTCTAATTAAAAAAGACTCTAAAGTGAAGCAGGAGTTAATAAACTTATTTTTTCCAAAAATCAAAGTAAGTAAATATTTCAGGTTTTATGCAACCTATAAGATTAATTCTCATTGAAATTTGTAAGTGTTTATATACATTGTATAAGTGGATACTAGTGGAATCATACACCATAAAAAAATGTCAGGGTGGATTGGCCCCTATGCAGACTTTATTCCTTGCCAATATCAACACAACAAACAGAAATCTGAAGAATGCCTTATCAAAAAACTGTGATTTTTGGAAGTGTGGTAATTTCAGATATGAAGTAAGGGTGAACATGAATGCACACACACTCTCTCTCTTCTCTCTCTCCCCCTCCTCTTCTCTCTATTACACTCCTCTTTTCTCTTCGATCAATGCCTTTGTTATGTATAGATATAATTTAGTTAATATGTTTGGGAAAGGAAATTACAAAATGTCCAGGAAAATTCTATTTGAACAAATTGTTTGCCACTGCTTATTTCTAAATATTTTTGAAAGATAAAATAAAGTTGCAATGAATTTTAGTAATGATTTTCAGCATAAAACATAAGGCTTGAATTGATTATTGATGATAACAGAATAGAGCATTCTTAATTCTATTGACAGCTGCAGAAAGAAAGTCAGCAGAATGTAAATCATGACTCACTTTTACCATTGTCTTCAAGAAGTTTTTTTGAGTTCATCACTCAGTTGTTTGTGAAAACCTACTTAGTCCCAAGGCATTTTCTGAAGTCTAGGATATCCCTTATATAAGGCAACAGTGAATTCGCTTAATTTTTCCCCAGCATCTGAGGATGGTCACACTATAATCTTTTGTCTCTAAAACTTTCTCCTTATGGGTGTGTTATATACAGTTTCCTAATTCCAGCATTCTTTCCTTTTTACAGCCAGAAAGAGGTTTCCCGAGTATGGTAGCTTGGATTTGAGTTATCAGTGCAAAATGAGTAAAGGTCACTGTAAAACCCAGTGCTCTGGAAATGAATTTAGGATTGGTTTCTGCATAAGACCTGGAACTCACTGCTGCATCTAGAATTTAAGATGATGGATGAAAAGATACACATGACCCAAGAAGACGAACAAGTCTAATTAAGTCTTCCCAACAAAAATTTCAAGATATGTTTGTCTCCGTAAAGCAAAAGGAATCTAATAAAATTTAATTCTGAGTCATTCAGAAGTGGTTCTAGATCACATATGAATTGGTACATTCAGAAATAAACTGAATTGAGTCTATTTGTGAACATTCCTCCAACAGTACTCAGAATTTTGTGTCTTGTGATAGTTGACAAACTAAGACGATGGGAAAGCCTAAGTCAAAGAAACGACATGTATCTCTGAGATATAGACTGCCAAGAGATATGCACTGTTAATATATTAACCCCATGAAAATGTATGAAGTGTTAGGCTTGGTGACTCCACATTGAGAACAAAGATCATTCTCATGAGATACAAAGTGCTTAAGAGAGAAAATAACCAAGGCATAAGAACAAAGTAGCAGAGAAAATTCACATTGCTTCTAGGTTCTCTTCATGTTTCTTTTTTTGTGGAAAGAAATATAAACCAAAAGGAATAGAGGACATTTCAGAAAGAATGTTGACATAATTATTAGTTTAATCTTTTCTTTATATTAAAGAGCTGATATTACACAAGGAGACACACATAAGGAAGAAATACTCATCTTCACTTTTCACCTTTGATCATCCTCGGTTCCTCTCCTGCCTCTGAGTGTTCAACTTTCTGATCTGCAACACTACATAAAACATCTGTACAATATCCACCCAAATGCCTGCTTTTTATTATTGCCATAGCATTACAATTTGGCCATTTATATCAAATCAAACTTCTTGTAAAACATACACTCACCCAATATAATAGAATAGGTTTTGGCAAATTAATTAATGGAAATGGAAATTATTAAAGAGACGCATGTGGGTTAGAATATGAATCAGAAAAAGAAGGAATTTCATAATTTCTTTTATTGTGGCCTCTCTGTGAGCTCATTCCTGTATGCAGATAGAGAGAGAGAGACAACAGATGGAGCAAGTTTATACTAAACCTTATTTACAACAGTGCCACACACATGGTGGAAATAAGATGCCACTGCTTAGGCTATACTGAAGTGTGTGTGTGTGTGTGTGTGTGTGTGTGTGTGTGTGTGTGTGCCTGATCAATTTTCAGTGTTTTAATCCAATGAAAGGATGAGTTCCATCATGAAGAGATTATTTTCAAAGTACATATTGGTGTTTTTAGTGTGTTTTTCTTTTTCAGCTTCAATATCTTTAAATAGGCAAATTATCCCATGTGTCCCTTTGCAACATATACACTGGAAAGTAGTTTATATCTTATGGTAGTCATTTGCAGCAGGCTCTCTTTTCTTTGGCAGCCCTGGTACTGTGGTCTGAATAATTCTCTTTAGAAGAGCTACGTGTTACATTGCATATCAACGGGCAGGACATGTCACAGCATCCAGGACTTTTACTCACTGGATGCCAGCCGCAATTGTTCCTTTAAAGACAAAAATAAAAATGCTCACATATGTTGATAAATACCTCCTTTGCAAAGTGAAACACATGTAAACACAAAGCAGCCATTCTCACAGAAATTAAAATTTTAAATGGAAGAAAAATAACCACTAACACTGTCATGTGGCCAATAATAACATTTCTGTGTTTTATAAGAATAATTGTCTATTCAAAACTTTATTATATTGTTATATGTTAGCTGCAGACATACAGAAAAAATTAAACTATATTTTTGCAACGAATCTATTAATTGTATGATTAGAACATTGTGACTTTACCTAACCCATTACTGAGTCATTGCTACCACAAGCCTTCTACTAGAATAGCTTGTTAGTGACTAGCCAGAAGTTGAAAATGGTTAGATGTTCTCCAGACAACAATGGAATCATCTTGTTAAGCAGGCTGCCCTAGCATGTCTGGGACTCTTCCCACCATTTAGTAATCCATTGAGAGAAATCAAATCCCTCTCAACTGTACATGGAAGCCACTGCCCTTGTTCAAGATGAAAAGGCTAGAAACATGAAGAGGACACTTCAGAAATCTTTTGTGATTTTCTATTTATACCAGAATTGAAACCTAAGCATGGCTATCTGTGCTTGTAACCTCAGAATCATGTGCAGAGTCAGATGTCTGGAAGATTGCTGGCCTGCCAGTTTACTGAAAGGTGAGCTGTAGATTCCGTTAAAGACTTTTCCCTAGGGAATAAAAAGAATGCAGAGGAAGGCATCTGATATTCTTCTTTAGCTCTGCATGTATGTGCCCAGGTTCACACACCTATACATCCAAGCAGGTGCACATCACAATGACGCACAAATGAACAAGTAAAAGTATAAAGGCCAAGTTAACCACTGCCGTGTCAGACAGTAGCAACTGAAGTTTGTCAGGGACTAACAAAGAGGAGGACAAAGATTGCTCAAAGATTTCTTGTCTAGGCCCTCACCAAGGAAGTTTTGTCATTTATTGAAAAGATATCGTCATTGGAACAAATCTCAGTGGTACAAGCTCACTTAGTTCTGTGTATGTGAACTTGGAAAAGTAGAACGGATTTTAAAAGTTACTGTGTGGAGAAGATAGAAAACCACCGGGTGTGTGGAGTATGGTGATCTTTTGAATTGATGGGAGAGGATAGCAACCAGTTTCAGCCAGTGTGTTAGTGGCTTATCAGATCATGGGCTCTGTGTTCTTGTTAATTGGGAGAGAGAGAAGACATAGATGCTGACAGCTAATTCACATGGTGCAAAGGCCTTAGGATGTCTCTTAAAAGTATTAATTGGGTTACTAAAGGGAAAAAATGAGAATCATAGCTAGGAGTGGAGATGACAAAGGACCTGGAATTATAAACTAGGTCAAATGCTGTGATGGAAACTTTAAAAGCCCAGAGAGCTGGTTAGCCTTGACCTGATTTACAAAAGACCCCATCACCTCCACTGGTGTTCCTTAGTCTCATATTGACCCATGTAACTTTGTACAGTGCATAACTCAAAATTAATCTGAAAATTATGTCACCTTATGTGATTTTTCTTGATTCATCCAAGTGTTCTCAACTCTCTTACCTAAAAAAAAGCTGGACTCTCATCTTATTTTTTCATGGTATTCTCTAACCTATATAAATTCTATTTGTGCCCAAACCCATGACAATATATCTAGACTTAACTTCCATTTTACAACTCTTACCGGTGCCCACATTTATTCACCAATATTTTTTTTCTGTTCCCATCTAGCACAAGAACCAGCAACACTTAGTTACTAATAAAATGTGAGAGTTTAAAGAAAGAAGAATGCTTTTTATATAAAACTAAAAGTGAAAATAATCGTCAAGTTCAAAGATTAGTTTAACCAGCCACAAACTTCTATGATAAGCCTTCTATAATAAGAAAAATGAAAAAGCTAATTTGTGAACTATAAACTAGAATATATATGGACATTTTCATTTCATGTTATTGGACACAATGCCCTGAAGTGGGAAATTATTATAAACTACACTTTATAGTCCAGAAAAAAGTATACTCAGAAAATAACAAATGGACAGCTAGTGATGGAGTATGGGTATTTCTGATTAAATATTAAAATTATGTTCCTATGTCTATTATATCCACACCTAGTGACTTTTCCAGATGATACGTATACCGAATATACATGTTTAAGCAATTTACTTCTTGTAAAATAATCCAAGATGGAGGGACACAATCAAAATGGTCACTAAGACATTATAATTAGAAGTTTGTGCTTATACTGTAGAGAAGACAATACTGTTTAAAACTGCATCTGCATCTCCATTGCAAGGCTTAGACACTAACAATGCTCCATTTAAAATCAACTTTTACTATGAATCCAAACGTGAAGTAAAGACAAGCACATTTAAAGTGCTCTAGTTTAGATTTCTTAACAATTTTTCCACTATAAGAGCTGGCTACATATTTCATACATATTATCTTTTAAGATTTCACAAGATTTGTCTAACTTATTACAAACAAATGTACTATATAGAGATCTACCCAACTATTTTATTTTGAAAGAGCCTGTGGTTCAAGGTCTAACTTCTTGATGAACTTTCTTCTGTCTTAGTGTCAACACATACCTTGCATAAACACATGGCTTCTCAATCCTACCCCTACACATTTTCAGTTCTGCCTCTGTTTTCCCAGGGAATCATGAGACCATGGAAATGGAGGGGAGCAGAAAAAATGTATAGTTCAATACAAATCAATAAAAAATAAATATTAAAAAGATATTACTAAAATTGAGAGTATTGCTGACTTTTTTGTCTACCCTTTAGACTCTTTTCCTGAGTTTACTTGTCCAACCTCTATATGAGGATTATAGCTTTGTTTTATTGTATCTTGGTTTGCATCTTATTGTTTTTTGCTTTATCCTGTTTGGTGATCCTCTCTTGGAGGCCTGTAGTTTTCTGAAGAGGAATTTAAAAAGGGTGGATCAAAGGGAAAGAAAAGTGGGAGGAGCTGGGAGGAGCTCAGAGGAATGGGGGTAGAGGAAACTGTGGTTGGGATGTATTGTATGAGAGAAGAATCTATTTAAATAAAAGATCAATCTTTAAAGCATAAATAATTAAATATAAAGAATGTCTGCAATGGACAGCAAAGCCTTTCGGGACAGATATGAAAAACAATGACATTTGCTTTAAAGGTTGTAAAATGAAATATTTACAAGCTAGTAGAAGTATAAATATTGGTTTAATAAGTGAGGGATCAAGTAAGTCAGTTTAGTATATGGAGAATAAAAATTGTAGATCCAGGAGCTCCAGGATGATGTGGGGCAAGCAAGATGCTTGTACTTTCATCCCTTCCCCAAACAACTGCTGAGTTATGAAAACAATGAGCAGTTGCTCCTCCTCCCAGACCCTATTACTTCATTATCAGAGCATAATTTTAACTCATATAAAATAATACAACTATAACTTCATGTATATGCATGTGTTTGTTTAGACATAGACATCAAAGAAATGTGAATTATCCATGGTAATGTGTTTCACTGTGGCATTTTCACACATGTATAAAAGGCACCTTGACCATATTCAGCTCCCTTTAGTGCCATTGACCTCCTTTCTCTTTCCAGAGAGTTTCTTTCCACTTTCATGTCTTTCTTTTTCTTGGTTGCAGCCAGAACTAACATGTCACCAAAGTACAGACTAGAGAGATGTGAAAAAGTGCGAGGCATGTGTAAGACCTACTGTGATGATGATGAGTATGATTTCGGATACTGCATCAAATGGAGGAACCAGTGCTGCATATGAATGACCACAGTGCTGAAAGGAGGTACACCTATGCCTAACTCCAATGTTCATCCATGCTGCCGCTGGCATCCATATGCCATTAAGTTTGAGAACTGATAAGTAAACCATTGCATAGCTACACTGGAGTGTGTGCTTTTGGGTGTCTCTTGAAGAACAGATAGATTGCTTCTGAGTATTTGCTATTGAAATAAAAGTGCTGTGGACATTTCTATAAGTACTTTGCATGGACATGTGTTTTCTGTTGTTGTTCTTAGCTAACTACTTAGAAAATAGATGAAGTATGTCGTAATGCACATGTAACTTTTCAAATAAACCATCAAACTGTTTTCTACACTTATTTCACCTGTCTCTGTCTCTGTCTCTCTCTCTCTCTCTCTCTCTCTCTCTCTGTTTCTCTGCCTGCATATGTGTGTGTATTTGTGTGTCTCTGTGTGTGTGTGTGTTGTGTTGTGTGTTCTATGTCCATTTCCACATATCATGGCACACAAGTAGAGGTGCCACGGATGACACTCAGGTCATCAGGCTTGGTGGCAAGTGCCTATACATGCTGGGCCTTCTTGACAGTTTTGTTTTCAAAATTGAAGATTTTACACTCCCTCAGTGTATATAAAGCTATGTTTCCTCCAATGTCTTGTGAAGTAAATCCATTCATTAAACATCAGAATATTTTAAAAGATGTGGAACTGCTTAGATTTCAATGGTCCCCAAAATACCAGCCTTTAATCAGCAAGATCAATATTGTATGGTCAACTTTGAAGTTTGTGTTCTCCGACCCCTTGGGGAGGAGAAACATTAGTTACATTCCACCACCGGGCTTTAATGAATGCTTTGTGTGATGCTGATGCAAGGTGATGTCTGAAACCTGCTGCTTCCATGTAGCATCTGAGAAATGATCTGAAGAAGGCTTTGACCTGAAAGTAGCAAGGTGAGGAAAGACAGGCTGTCTTTTGAAAAGTAGTTCTTCTTGAGTGTTACATAGTCTAAGTTCATAAAACGCCTGAAACAAAAATAGAATTATGTTTTATGTCAATTTGCTAAACTGATGATACCATACTAAAACACTGAAGTCAAAGGTTATAAAATTTTTTCAATTTAGAATATTTCATAGCTTATTAGGAATTCTCACACTCTGGGCAAAGGGGCTTGGAGTTTTCATTCCATGATAATTGATCACTGTGTTAAACGTCCTGCAGGCCCATAATTTGAGGTACCTGCAATATGGTAGCTGTTCAAGGTTTAATTAGAGTCTGGCATTGTTTATAATTCTTGCTCCTGGCAATAATAGCGGCAAAAGCTTTGGCTCAGTATCCCAAACAGTATTCTCTGTAATTGCCACCTTCTTTGTTTTCATGACTATACAGTTGGGTTGCTGTTTGCACTAACTAAACCTCACTCCCCATATTTTTAATAGGCTCAAACACAATGCAAAATTCAGAGAAACCTGAAGGGAAAATATTCGGAGGAAATCCTTTTGGTCATCAGTCCCATACAGTCATTCCTAATAGAAACTTTGTGCTTGACCTTTTTCTTTGCTTTAACTTGATATGAATTTTGTGCACTTCATATTTATGTTTAAATTACCTGGTGTAGATATCTCTTACTTTAAAATAAAACCTGGGATTCAGAAATTTTGTGTAAGGGATGAAGAGGAGGACACACGAAGGCATAAAATAACAGAAACATCTTTGAATATATTATTGGAACTTTAATAATAGTAAGTTGGGAAAGTATTTTGTAGCTTCTCTGAGCTTTAGTTTTACTGTTTTTAAAACAAAAGTATTTACTAGAAGCTAGCGTTACTAATTTTTGCTATTTAAGCTTACACAGAACAGATTTTATTGAGAATATGGGAATCTAACTATAGCAGCCTACTACCTAGCTTCATTGCCCTACTGTACAGTATTTATTCTGCTCATCTCTCACAGCCTCAACCCCTACCCATCAGTACTCTTGCCATGACTTGCCGATCTTGAGTTGTTATTCTATTTTAAAGCTGACTTTTAGGGGAAAAACCAATAATTGTATTTCTAAGTAATGTAAAACTGATATTTGAGGCTCCCTTCCCCCTCAATGAAATCTTAAACAAATTAAATTGAACAGGTTCATTTGCAAAAAAATATTTTAGCAATTGAGCAACACCTTGAACTAGTTGTAGTTCACAAAGCAGTAGGGACAACAACTGGACATAGAAACAAATTAAATTACTTGATTGTCTACGACTAGGTACTCATTTTATTTGTGTTACAATGAAGAGCTTGCCTTTTTGGCAATGATTTAATAGTTTGGTTTCCTGTGACTTCTCACAGCTTACTAAAATTTGGCTGCTTTCTTATAAATTTTAAAGGTTATTTTAACTATGTTTAAAGATTTATTCTACTTTTAAACTATGTGAATGAGTATGTGTCTGTGTTTGTTTGGCCATGTGCTTATAGAAGCCAGAAGGAGGTTTCAATTCTTAGGACCTCAGTCACAGGTAGTTGTAAGCAGCCTGATGTAGATGCTGGCAACCAAGCTTAGGTCCTCTGCAAGAACACTACTTTTCTTAACTGCTGTGCAAGTCTTCAGCCCATACTGTGAACATTTTAAAATACCATGTTTAATTCACAGTGTAAATATTCATGATACTAAGGCTGCTTCCAGGTCAGATTTAATGTAAAAGGCCCATCTTGAGAAGAGTACCAAGCCAAGTATCTTAACTGATACAGCAAGATGACCCTCAGATTGATGGAGAAAGGTCATTGGCTAATAAAGGAACTGCCTTGGCCCATTTTATTGGTTGGAAGATAGGTGGGAGGAGTAGGCAGAACAGGATGCTGGGAGGAAGAGGAAGTGAGGTCAGAGTCTCGACAGCTCTCCTCTCGGGATCAGATGCCTCAGAGAGACGCCATGCCCCGCTCCCGGGATGAAGCTCCGACCCAGGATGGACTAGGCTAGAATCTCCCCGGTAAGCGCACCTTGGGGTGCTACACACAGATGATTAGAAATGGGCTAAATTAATATGTGAGAATTAGCCTAGAAGAGAATGGGCCAAGCAGTGTTTAAAAGAATACAGTGTCTGTGTAATTATTTTGGGGCATAAGCTAGCCAAGCAGGCGGCCGGGGTGCTGGGAACGCAGCCCCGCCACCCTTATTAATTCATCAGATTACTATAGAAAGAGAGTAAAGACCTATAGCATCGCTGTTTACAGAAAGATTTAGATTGATAGAATGTAGATTCCTCTATCCCTTCCCCCATCTCTGTCTCTGGTTTGTCTCTGTCTCTTTCTCTCTCTCTCTCTCTCTCTCTCCCTCTCTCTCTCTTTGTCTCTCTCTCTCACACACACACATGACTGCTTACAACCAAGTCATATTTTGGCAAATCAAATTTTTGAAATTTTATTTATAGAAAAGGGCTAGTTTTTCTTCATAGTGACATCTCAGTGTCGAAGCCCTTAAAATATCCCAGGATTTGCATCTCTATTTTTGACTTTCCTTTACTTGTAGTTTTATCCTAATTGTCCTCTGAAAAGTTGTTTGCTTGGTGACTTGCATGGTTGACTTACATAGCAGTAATATGTGTTACTGTATCATATACTCAACAGGTGAAAGACTATATATATATATATATATATATATATATATATATATATATGGGCCAGATCATACAATCTTTTATTTTCAAGTTGTAGAGATGACAAAGTCAAGGTATCAAATGTATCAATACTCATAAATTAAAATATACCTTATTCCATTGATATTTGTTTGAGTTTTAAATATTTACATATTTTTATTTTCTTAAAAGACTATACTCATCTTTGTTTATAAATAAATTTTCATTATTTAATCTTGTTTGATGCTCATGGCTTTTTGAGTAATGAGGTGTTAAAGAAAACCACAGACACTTCTACTTATGCTAGCCTGACAGAGAACTAAGAAATGTCTTTCTACACTATGAACATCAATAAATTTAAAATAGAATATGTTTCAAAAATACTTAATATAGGGTTGTATACACTTGAATTAGGCAACACTACTTAGTAAACAAAAGATAGAACCAAAAGCAACAGTGAAGTATGTGAGGATTAAGCTGGTTAAAAGTGTGATGGTGGTGGAGAGAGAAAAACAGACCCATGTAGGGACTCTAGGTTTTACAGTCTCATAGTATTAAAAATAGTCACAGTTCTTCAAAAGAAAGATCAATGGAAAACTCATTGTTTACAGTCTGGATGTAAGTAGGCAGTAGAGTGCTTGCCGATTCTGTGCCAGGCTCTTAAGTTTAATGCTCAACATAATTATAAAACAAACAAACAAACAAAAACAACAAAAGAAATAAAGAACAAAAGCATTGCTTAAGATTCTGACAGGTAAAATTAAAACTCCAATATGTATATGCCAGAAAACAATGGATATATACTTTCCAAGTTAGAGAGATGAGACATTAAATCAGTCAAGCAGGAACATTAGTTGAGATGTACCTCAAAGATGGCGACAGAGACTCAGGTTACATGAGGAGCTGGGACATGACGTGCCAGAACTGCCAGCTCAGTTCCCAGCAATCAAATTCAAAACCACAGTCAATAGTAGAGTTCAAAGATGGTGAAGACTGCCTTGCCCCTTCAGAGGAGCACACTCTGCACATCAAAGAGATCAAAGAAGACATAACAACATCCAAATGGGTACAGGGAGAACTGTGGGCTGGGTGCTCCAAATAGATTGTCCATAACTAGGTCACACATCGTTCAAAACCTTTCATCCACAACTTTTATTTTAGTCCCACGGTTTACATGGGAAAAGGAGCAACACCTTAAGAACAAGATTAATGAAGCGCTTCAAGGAAACACTGCAGATTTAGAATCGACTTCCAGAAAATTCACAATGTAGCTCTTTTTTAATTTAAAAAAGTTAACTGAAAACCTTTAAGCTGCAGAGTCTTAAGTAATAGCCTATAAGTTTGCATTAATTTTTTAAAGCTATGTCGATGAAGTTTTCCACTAACAATTTCTCTCTGTGAGTCAAAGACT